CAGTAATGTCAAAACCTCGGTATTCAAAAAGCTGCTATCACAGATATCCACATAGTGTCTGAGATGTTAAAAATTGCAGTCTTCAACATCAATTCTTAAGCATAAATTCAGTGTGAAATCTGTGCTTTGTAATCTCTTCAGTCTGGTATTTAGGTTCACTGACAGTGAAAAGATTGGAATAATTTTGTTTTTGTACACCACAACAATGCAATTCACATGACACAACTCAAAAATGTCTACTTAACAAAAATAACATAATTAAAATAGTTGTAATGCACTAATGCTAACTTAGAAGCACAGTTTTAGTCTAAGTGCTGTATCACCATTAGGATGCTTTCCCAGCTCTTAAAAGAATCAAAACAAACCAGAGACAGACTCAACACTTTGAAAGCCACTGGTAATAAAATCCCAACAAAACAAACGTGTTTACTGAGGATTTTGATAAGTACTTTTAATAAAAAAAATTGAAAAAAAAAATCAAAACAAAAACAAAAAAAAGCCATACCTTTACAAAAATGGATGGCTGTTTAATTATCTTTGCCAGCTGAGCTTAATAACTCTGCAGCTTATGTTGGGTTATGTTAGTTCGATAGCCGCTTGGCTCTAGACAGATTGGGTTCAGATTGTGGATAAAAAGGACCTCTGAAGGTGGTTTGAGTCAAGACATTTTTAATGCACTGTGTGAATGTTTACACATGTACAGTATTTAGCTCTGTTCGATAGCAATCAAATAACAAATAACTGATTTCAGGGTTAGGTCTGAATGCGGTCATGACCTATTTTTAACTTTATTTTGTATGGAAAACCTTGCACAACTCAGACCATAGCATATGTGACTGACTTAGCCATTTAAAAACCTATTTCCTTTTACTTATTTTTATTTATTTTATTTTATTTAATTTACTTATTAATTAATTTATTTGCTTATAGGTCTTAAATAATGTTGAGTATGTCCTCTGGACGAGCTCTTTTTCAAAAATATTTTGTCTCTTCTCTTAGAGACTTCTTCAGTCTGAGCAGTTACAGGTAAGCTCAACCTCATAAGCAGTACATGGTGGACAAACAAGTTTAACAATGCCAATCAAAGCTGTTTGTTCACATGCAAAAAGGACCATCAACCTAACGGACGATTGTTAGTGCCCTGACGACCACCTTTTGTACACAGGGGGCTGAGTCATACTTGCAATAACAGCATTGTAAGAGGGGGACAACTGGACCCAGAGACCTCTCCCTGTTTAATGACGAGTGGTTTCTCATCACCAAAATAGCTTCCTTTACCTCTCTCTCTCTCTCAAACCATCATTTTGAACAGTGGCTGCTTAGTTTCTCCAATGTATAAATGGTCACATCCTCAGCGTACATACAGTAGTACACTGTTTGTGCCGGCTGGCCAGATCTTAGCCATAATGTGTTTTGGGGTTTAAAAGCCTCTGGGATGTCATGTTTAGGAACTAAATGTCTGTTTCTCTGCAAGTCCCGCAACATACAGAATGACCACAGGTCTGGGGTCCTCCATGTCACCTGGTGGCTGGTTGGAGTCCTGTTTTTTATTTTTATTTTTCAGGAAAGCTCAGTTGGGATTACCACATTGCTCCAGGGTCTGTCTTGTGAGAGATTTCTCATTCTCCCTGGCTGCTGGGTTTGCTTTGGTACATTTGGTAATATGGTTTTGGTTCCATATCTACGTATACCATCAATAAAAGACATGATCCCGTAAGTCAATCTAGTTGCAGAATATAGCTTGAGTTTAAAACAAAACAAGAGTTTATATATANATATATGGTAATTCTGTATTAGTTTGACAAAGTAGAATGATAACTTTCATCTGTACCGTTGAAGACATGTTTTGCAGTTCATTCATCTTTGAAGCTTTACGTAACGGAGATGTGAATCTAATGTAAAATTCAAGAAACTTTCACTTACTGAAAGAAAATATTGCCATGCGTGTTCGTTACCAGGATGTGTGCTTAAACCATAGAGAATGTACAAATGCATGGAAAAGATTATTAAAGAGAAACCATACAAAACCAAAGAGTGTTCTCTGCTGAAGTCAAATTTAATCAAGCGACCAAGAGTTCAGACCGAAAACAGGGAAGTGCATTGTATTTAACAAAAGCTCTGAGGCGTGGCTCCACCTATTTAATTACATCATCAGTGACGGACCCCTACGCTGCTCGAAGTCACTCCCCCAGACATAATAATCTACCCTAATGAAGATTTAAAAGTTCAGTTATGTGTTGAATTTATTTTCTGGCACGTAGCTATTAATATAAAATCATCAAATTAAGCAAAACAGTCAGATTTAACAATCATTACAGTTCTATCAAGACTAAACCATATGTATGTAATTTAAATCCGTTATATAAACCTAAACCCCAATAATTTCTTCAGTAACTTTCATCTGTACCTTTGAAGACATGTTGTGTGGTTCATTCATCTTTGAAGCTTTTTGTAGTGGAGATGTAGATCTGATGTAAAATTCAAGAAACTTTCAATTTGAGTCCTAATATATTCACTTTCATACCCACAATATGAATTAGAAAAACTTACCCCAATTACAGAGCAAAATACAATCTGAATAAAAGCGCTGCAAGGACATGTTTTATAAAAATTTAAACACTCATTTTGTAGGCAGTTTGGATTTTTTCTCCTGATTAAAATAAAGTGGGAGTATTAGAAATGCTTTGAAAAATCCATACCGCATATCAAACAGTGGGAGCATGCTGTATTAATGCTTCTGTTAAAAGACTGTGGAACAGAGAGGAAAAGTATTTCATCTTGAATATTGGATTTGTAGAAATATGGCAATATGCTCTTCAGTTAGGACTTTAAACTGCACACGAGCGGTGTCTGTGTGAGCAGGGAGCCCAAAAAGATGTAACGTTTCTCTTTGAGCTTCTTGTTGCTCTCAGTATTCAGCTCACCGGGGAGGGAGGTGTTGTGATGAAGGGGAGCAGCATGATTGGAAAGAGTCAGACTTTTATATTTGTCATGTGATTTTTATTTTATTTTTTTGCACTCCTTAGCTAATCTTTCACTGCGGGGCAGGTTCCATTCACTTGAATTTATTATTTCTTTGTGCTGAGGAAGTCGATGAATTCAAATCTCTGTTAGCAAAATTGTGTGAGCGTGTGCGCACACACACACGGTGAGGCTTGTGTGTGTGAGCAAACGAGGCACACGCCTTTCTGTTTGTCAGGGAACAGCGCTTCTCACGGCTGTCTCAGATCTCGCTGCCTCACAGTTCGACAGAGCGACGGAGCCAGAAGGTAGAGAGCGATGGAGAGATAAAGGGAATGGAGGGTGAAAGAAGGCTAAAACGATCTTTAATGAGTTTCCTTGGCTCTCTTTGCCTGTTTCTGGGTCAGGGTCCTTTTTGGCTGAGTGTGTGGGTGGACTTAGGACGATAGAGCACAAAAAGAACAGAGTAACCCAACGTCCTGCTGAAAAACACTTCTACATTAAAGAGTCATCACCTACATCAAGACTTGATGAAGGAAAAAGTTTCAAACTTTTTTTTATTTCTTCCTTTTAAGAAAAGCAGTCACTCGCGTACAAATAAGCCATACAAATGGGCTTTCCGCAGCATCATAACGGCGCACAGTCCAACTGAGTGAGGCGCGCTTTGGTCATTTTCTGATTGTCTCCTCCTGCACTTTCATTTCCTAGCAATCAACTTCAATCCGTGGCAGGCATGGCGGGAAAGATAACATTAGAGCAGCATCGCGGGGAGATATCTGACATTATTTAGTGCTCCCAAAGCTATCACGAGGCAACCCCTGTCAGACAACAAGGCTCGGCTCTGTCCACACAGGCCAGAGACGCAGATAGGACATGAAAGAATTACTGATGGGCTGATAAACTGTTTTCTTATCTGAACAGTCTGCCTCCCTGGACCTGTCCGGCTGCGCGGTGTTTCTGTCTGCTCAATCTCTATTTTAACATATCAATCTATGGCTACCTTTACCATTTCTCTCTTCCTCTCCTTTACCTTCTGTTTCCTGCTGTGTCTCTGTCTCTATTACTCTGCCTTCTTTCTTTCACGCTTGTGAATAATTGATGTCTACCGGTTCAATGGTAAGAATAGAACAGTTCTGGAGGTGACAAATGGGGTGGCGAATAGGCCTTATCCTCCTTTCTTCAAAGAGTTAGAAAGTTTGCTGTAGTCACTTGTGGGTGCGCGCCTGTGTATGTTTGTGCCACTGTGAGCATTTGTTCGTGTGTTTGTGTGTGTGCGTGTGATTTAAGACAGCGAGATGAAAGAGACTTGTAATTACAGGGAAGCGTATTCGTCTACTGCAGAAGTATCTGAGGAATGGCACATGGCACAAACTGGGCCAAAAGCCCGAGGTCATTAGATCTGCTGCGTGCATTCGGGTGTCTGTGCGAGCTGCTGTTTGTGTGTGTGTGTGTGTGTGGTGT